CAGGGGTCTTAGCCCCCAAACAGCTAGAATCAGGAGATGTTGGGGGCCCAGGAGCCGGCTGGATATTGTCGATGACAACACGTGCCACCCGGGGCGAAGGCCAGAGTCACCTGAATCCAGGAAGCGTCCTCCAACCCCTTGAGAGAAAGAAATCCCATCAGGTGGCCCCAGTCAGGCCTGTGTAATACCCGTGCTCACCGCCAGGGGGAGCAGCTCCCTTGCAGGCTTGGGGGTTAGGGGCGGCGCGCTCAGCCTGTTGAAGGACCCGTCCCCTCAAGGATGCCTTTCTCCGGTCTCTCTCCCATCAGGCGTGTTCCAGGCTCTCAGCACGAAGAACAAGGAGTTCATTCATCTCAACATAAACGAGGTGAGGCCCAGCCAGACCTCCCGCTCAGGGACCCGGCCAGGGCCGGGCCCACGGTCCACAGGCTCCATAAACGTTTGCATGATGGCATGTGAGGGTTAAACGTTTAGCTTTGGGGCAAAACAGCAGTGCACATGGCCACTCTGTTTATGTCGTGTGCACTTAGCAGTCCATATGGTTGTTACTCTCCGAGCTCAGTGCGAATAGCCTACCCATTTTGCAGAAGTGGAAACTGAGGCATAGAGAGAGATTCGTCCCCGGAGCAGAGCGAGCTAGCAAGCCCCGCCTCCTTCTCCTTCTCTTCCTTCGGCCGCGTGGGCTCCTCAGCCTGCCTTCCAGGCTCCGACTCGCTCACGTTCCCTTGCTCATGTCATCCCAGGGTCTCGTGATTCCTGGCATGTGTGTGTGTGTGTGTGTGTGTCTGCGGGGGCACGTGCGCACGTAGGAAGGTATGCACGCATGCAAACTCCTCAAAAACCCTGAGAAATGGACAACTTTTACCAGTGACATGGGCTGATGACAGCACAAATGATGGAGGGAAGGGCATGAAGCGGGTCCGAGGCTTGGAAGAGGCCCCGAGGTGTGGATCGTCCCCTCCCAGCTGCCCATCGTGGTCCCTCAGCCAGTGGCGTGGGCGCCACCTAGGGGAGGCGGTTAGAAATACAGGGTGACTAGTGGCAGCAACAGGGTCATACCCTTCAAAGCCGCTGAGCGTCTGGACCTCAAAGGCTCCATCCGCACTGGACCTGAGCTGACTCAGACAGGCACCAGGGCCTCTGGGACATGCAAAGCCCCGAAAACCGACGTTCTTGCTTGTTGCCCGTCGAGGCAGACGTCCGTGTCTGCAGGCAGGATGACCAGAGGGCGGAGCTCGGGGCCTGAGCCAACAGGCCACTCCTGAGGACGGTGGGGAGGTGGAGGGTTCACCCTCATCTCTCTCTCTCTCTCTTTCTCTTCTT